AGACATTCAACCCCCGGGACGTGTTCCTGTGTGATCTCCTCTGGGTGATCCTGCTCTAGCAGGGGCTGGACTGGATGATCGCCAGAGGTCCCTTCCAGCCCCTGCCATGCTGTGGTTCTGCGGTGGGCAGAGGCTGCTGGCAGTGCTGCCTGCCCCATGGGAGGGCTGTGCCAGCTCCTGGTGGGATTGGAGCAGCTGGGGAGCTCCGGGCAGTGGGGACCAGTCGTGCTGTGTCTGGATGTGGCGGTGGCCAAGCTGGGATGTGTCAGTCGGCAGTGGGGCAGCGAGGCAGCTGTGGGTGCCAGCCAGGGCAGTGGGTCCAGCTCTTGTGGTGGTCTCGCTGTCCTGCTGCTGGATTCCCGAAAACGCCCTCTCTGCTCAGCACCTCTCAAAAGCAGAGCAGGAGCCACTGCTCGTGATCCAAGGGCAGGGGAGGGATTTGCAGTCCCACCACCCCACAGGCAGGAGAGGGGCCTTTGTGGTTGCTGCTTTAATTGTGTTGTTATTATGCGGAGTAAATGAATCCTGGCAGCAGCTGAACCTTGCGGATGCCAAACACATCCCAGAAAGGCATCCGGCAACAGGCAGCATCCAGCTGGCACGAGCAGGGCCTGGGGACCTGGATGGGACCCAGCCACCGACAGGTGCCGGCAGAGCCGGGGGGTCCTAGCAGGTGGAGGGGGAGCCAGGGGGTGGCCTGAACCCTTTCCATCTCCCCCCCCTTCCACCACTTCTCTTTTGCAGACTGTCAGCATCAATAAGGCCATTAACACGCAGGAAGTGGCTGTCAAGGAGAAACACGCCAGAAATATCCTTCCCCAAGTTGGCCGTCGGACAAGCAAGCGTGGGAGCGGGAGCAGGGCTGCCCGGAAAGGGTGCAGTGGCGAGATGGCGCATGGGGAGAGGTGCTGCTGCAGCTGGGCCGGCTGCTGGGGTGGCTGGATGGGACCCTGTGGGCTCTCAGTGATGGTTGGGGATTTACCAGCATGGTGCAGAGTCCCTGCTCCAGCCTTGCCTTGGTTGGTGGTGGGGGCCCGTGGGAGGCACAGGCACCCGCAGCAGGTTGTCTGCCCTGAGGTGAGGATGCTTCATCCCCAAAAGTGCTCGTTGCTAAAAGCAAATCCCCGGTATCCCAGCAGGGTGGGTGGGAAGCCTTGACAGAGGCACAGCCCCAGCTCCAAGCCTGCTGCTGTCCTCCCGGCACAGCAGTGCAGGGCTAGAGAGGAGGGGACAGCACGTTCTGGGCTTGGCAGCTTCTCAGCTCCCTGTGGTGGCCCAGCTCCCCGTGGAGCTGGCTTTGGGGGGCTGATCTCCACCACCCAAGGGCAGAGGAGCATTTCCTTGACCGGCCACCACCATGCATCCTGGGCACGCACCACGAGAAGGGGGCGCAGACCTTCTGGTCGGTGGTGAACCGGCTGCCGCTGTCGGGCAAAGCTGTGCTGTGCTGGAAGTTCTGCCACGTCTTCCACAAACTGCTCCGGGACGGCCACTCCAACGTGAGTACTGCAACCTTGGCTCAGCTGCTGCCCCGGGGCCAAATCCTTTGGCAGATGCTGGCGGGTTGGTACCCTCCTGGGGGTCAGTCCTGCGTGGGGTCCCTTCCCTGCTCACTTTGCTGGAGCCTTCCCGGCGCTCCTCTGCCACAGCCCTGCTGTGCCACAACACCCAGAGACCGCCTGGTGCAGGACATCGGCATGGGAGCCATCAGCCCATGTGCAGCTGGGGAAACTGAGGCACCTGGGGCTGGGGGTGGTGACACCACTGGCAGGCTGCAGGATTGGGAACGCATCTGGACCTCCGGTTCCTTACCCAAATTGCCGCCTCCAAGCATGGCACACTTTGACCGATGCTCTGCCTTGCGCCGCCTGCTCATTTGTCGTCGTCGTTCTTCCAGGTCCTGAAAGACTCCGTGAGATACAAGAACGAGCTGAGTGACATGAGCAGGATGTGGGTGAGCACTGACCCTGCCAGCCGCCGCGATGAGGACACCCCGGGGGGCCCTCAGCCAGGCCAGGAGTGGTGCGGGCTTGGATGATGATCGTGCCCAGGAGGAGCCAGGCTCTGAGGGCTGAGCAGATGTGCAGCCATAGCTGAGCTGTGGTGTCCATGACCTCCCCAGGCTGGGTTCCCCGGTTGCATTTAGCATCCCCTTCCTCCAAAATGAAACGCTGCCTTCCTATTTTATGGCAAAACCCAGTAAAACTCGGCTCTAGCGGTAAAAAGCAGCATTGAAGTCTGCAGAGAAGATGGCAAGAAGGTCCTGACTAAATCTCTTTGGCACATTTGCTGCGAGCCAGCCTGCAGCTGAGCTGGCGGCAGGATGGGTTTAGGCTGTGAGTTTGGGGGAGATAAGGAAAGGGTTGCTCATGCTGCAGGGGAAGAAGTCTTTTTCACAGCCAGCCCCAGGTCTCACCAGCTTTTTGTTGTCCCCAGGGCCACCTGAGCGAGGGCTACGGGCAGCTCTGCAGCATCTACCTCAAACTGCTGAGAACCAAGATGGAGTTCCACACCAAGGTGAGCATCATCCCGTCCCCATCCCCATGGCCACATGAAGTGGGGGGAACGATGGGACGCTGGGGCGAAAGTGGTGACAACGTTACGGGGCAGGACAGGGGCTGGCAGAGCCGTCCTGGTGCTGTCACCCCCGAGGGTCCTCTGCTCTGTCATGGCCGTCCATGAAGCATGTCCCAGGCTGCCAGGGTCCATCCTGAGCCTGGACCGAAGGTGGCCCAAGGCCAAATGCCTCAGAGATGGATGGTTTTGTGGTGGATCAGGGCTCCTTGGAAGCACCTGGGCTGGAAGTTGAGGGGCTACAAGAAACAGAGACCCCAGCTTTGGGGTGCCTATCCCCTCACAGGTATCCTAGATGGGCAGAGGTGGAAGAGGCCATGGGATTCTGGAGTGGGGAGGGTTTGTGGGGTCTGTGCCATGCCATAGGAGCAGCTCCTGCCCATCTCCAGCGCCGCCCTGCCAGACCAGCAAGGGCTAAAGCAAGGCCAGGCAGGGGCCAGCACCGAGGTGTAAATCACCCCCAAAACCCTGCAGCAGAGCTTGGCTTTTCTGTGTCCCCACGAATGCAGAGAGCGATGCCGGGAGTTGGGTAGGGGGGTGTCCCTGGTGGTGCACAGAGGAGGATGAGCAGCAGCGCCTGCTCCAACCGGTGCGCCGGCTTGGAGGGCCATTTGCCCCAGTCAGCAAAGGAGAAATTAAAGAGTTGCATACAGAAACCTGCCCGTGATTAGCACTGCAGTTTGGGTGCAAGGCACCTTAATGCTTCTAAAATAAAGTTTTCATATGGGCAGAAGTAGTGAAGTGAGAGCAACAAGTCAGCCTGGAACTTCATGAATGATGGGAAAATAGTGATTAACTGAACCTGAGCACTGCTGAGCATGCACAGCCTGAGTTCTCAGCAGAGCTTTCCACAGAGTCACAGTTTAGGGTTTCTTTAGGAGCACCCAGTTCATCACAGACCATAAATTTCACCTTAGGTTGATCAGGAAAATCAGGAAATGCGGACGAGGTAGCACAAAACAAACCTCTCGGTCCCCAGCAGCCCCCATGCTCCCAGGGCTTCTGCCCTCCATCACCTGCCCCGCTTGGTAAACATCCCTGTGCACGGGATGCTGTGGGATCAGTCCCAGCCAGCGTCAGTGGTTCGTCCCATCCTGTCCCACCCAGTGCTGTCCCCAGCTTGAAATAATCAGCCCCAGTCACCAAGGTCCATTTTTTCTCTCTCCCCTTTGGGCTTTTGGTCCATGGGTGCTCCTGGGCTTGGGAGCATCCCAGAGGATCATCCCAGATGGGTTTTTTTCCCATCATCACCAGAGTGTTTCCTGCAGTCTCTGGAGGTCTTTTCTTTGGACTGGCCTTGGGAGAGGACGCACTGGCTCCAGGTCTGCTCCACGCATGCCGTGCCAGCTGCCGTGGTGATGGTTTATAGTAAGGGATGCGGTGTGCCCTGCCGTGCCTCGGGAAGCCACGCTCACGACGATGGAGCTTATTTAGGCAGATGCTTTCTTAAAGAATAAACCAGGATATGCTTGTGGTGTTAAAATAACTGTGCTGCCAAGAGCAGGATGGAAAGGGCTGGCGGGCTGGTACACCAGAGCATGCCTGCGTGTCTTCCAGCACCCTCATCCTTACAGTAACTGGCTGCGGGAGGTTTGGTACCCACACTGTTTCCTTCCTTTCCAAGCTCTGTTGGCAAGGGTGGGTGTTGTGAAGCCAAGCAGTACCCCTCACCCTGATGTGGTTTGGAGCTGTGATGTGACCTTCCCCAAAATGCCCAGGCAGCGTGGAGAGGCTTTGCTCCCCGGAGCAGATGCTGGCTCCTTCCCCTCCAGCTCTCTGCGGTGCATGAGCTGGTGGCCCCATCTCCTCCCTGCTCGGTGGGTTTCTGTACCTGTAGAGAATTGGCTTTTCTTGCTGGGGAGAATGCAAGCACCATAGGTTGGGGGTGCTGCGGTCACTGAGGGCTCAGCAGACCTCGTGTTAGCTCCCTTACCCCCTGCATCCCTTCCTTGCACATCCGAAGAGCTGTCCCAGCCTCTTGCACCGAGGCCGCCAGCCAGATCAGCAACCCTGGCGATTGCAGAGCTGCGGCTGGAGCAGGAGAGCCTCCAAAACCCCTTCCCGACTCCTGTTTCTCCACGCAGAATCCCCGTTTCCCCGGCAATCTCCAGATGTCCGACCGGCAGCTTGACGAGGCAGGGGAGAACGACGTCAATAATTTGTGAGTGTGGGGCAGCAGCCAGAGGTGTGGGAGGGGGTGGACGCGGGCAGGGTGAGACAGCGGTGCCCAACCTCACCGGCAGCAACCGAGCCAGGGACACGACCTTGTGTCTCCCCCCCACTCCTGCTATGCAAAGCCCAGGCTTCCACACCAGAGCCCCTGCTCCTCCCTCTGGGGTGGCACCTGGAGGCCCATGGGTGGCCATGGGGATGCTCCCCAACCATCCTCATCCCTTTTTCCTAGTTTCCAGCTGACGGTGGAGATGTTTGACTACCTGGAGTGCGAGCTGAACCTCTTCCAGACAGGTAAGCCCCTGAGCTGCCCCTCTGACGGTTGGGGTGGGGGGTCCGTGGGGACTGAGCTGCATTGTGGGGAGGCACCAGGAAGGATGCCAAGGGCCTCACAGTTCATCTCTTTTCTGAGCACTTCCTCTGAATTATTGTTAGCTGAAATCCCTGCATGCCATGCCAGTCCAGTAAAAACAAGCCTGGCTCATCCCTTAGGACTGTCATGGGCTTCTGCACAGGCAAGTAGGGTCAGGTTTGGGGTAAATTAAAGCAGTTCTGGGACCAGCCTTCACCTGCTGCGTGCAGCAGGCTGTGGGTGGTGGTGGGACGGGGCTGTTTCGAGGAAACTGGAGCAGTGCCCTCATCTCCTGGCTGCACGTTGGCACAGCAGGATGGGGCTGGGGGCTCATCCGTGTGGTGCAGCCCCATCCCAGGGTGCTCCTGGGAGCTCCCGCTGCTCTGCCTGTCGGAGGGGAGTCACCAGTTATGGGGAGATGGAGCCCCTGGATGGGGGGAGCTGGAGTTGTGGTGCTGCCAGAGCCTGATCCCATGCTCCTTCCCCGCAGTGTTCAGCTCCCTGGACATGTCGCGCTCAGTGTCGGTGACGGCAGCGGGGCAGTGCCGCCTGGCGCCACTTATCCAGGTGATCCTGGACTGCAGCCATCTCTACGACTACACCGTCAAGCTGCTCTTCAAGCTCCACTCCTGTGAGTGTCCCCAGTGCTGCCACCTCAGGGAGAGGGGGGACATGGAGGGGAACACCAGGGGTCACCAACCTGCACAGGCTAGGCCGTTTGCAACCCATCCCAGCCTTTTTGAGGGAGTGGAGGGAGTCACCAGGGCAAGAGACAAGGAGGTGCAGGCAATGGGGGACCAAGTTGTCCCTGCCCAACACCGCTCAGCTATGAGGACGGTGCCCACCAGGACCCACCCGGCTTTGGACAGTGGCTGCAAACCCCACATTCAGCCGGACCCTGAGTCATGGTGACAGCTGCCCGAACACCAGCTCACTGCCTTTCCCTGCCCTGGGGGTGACTGGGGAGGGAATGATCCCCTTTCTGCAGCAGGACACTGAGCCCAGAGCACTCTGCCATCTCTGGGATAGACCCATCTCCACATGGCCATGCCAATGGGTTGTCTCCTGCTCCATGCTCCTTCCTGGCACTGAGACATCTGGTGACGTTCCTGCTTGCTGCTTCTTCCAGGTCTGCCAGCGGACACACTGCAGGGCCACCGGGATCGCTTCCTGGAGCAGTTCAGAAAGTAAGTGTCCAGCCCCAGGACACTGGCTGTCCCCACTGCCGGCGGTGCCGAGGGTGCTCCCGGGACAGAGGGAGCGTGGAGGGACACCAGATCCCCTGTGCCAGAGCTCAGCAGCCAAGCGATGGAGTCAGGGGAAGTGCAAGAGCTGGTCTTGCTTGGGGCTCTGAAATCCACCCACTCCAACCTCTCAGCTTTCCCTGGAGCTTCCAAGCTCCACTTGGCTGATCCACAGCTATTGAATTACCAGATAACGGCGTTATTAATTCTAACGAGCGCTCAGCCGCTGACAGCACATCCGACAATTTAAAATTCTCAAACCCTTTAATTGCAGTTTTAAATGCAATTTGAAGTTGATGTGCAGAGATGAAAGTCTGGGCACGGGCTGAGAAGCCGAGCGTGGGGGTTTGGTGGTGGGGATGCCCAAGGGATGCTCAGGGCTGGGTGCTCTGCACCCTCAGCAGTGTTTTCTGCTCGCGATGGGTCCGTTGGCTCCATCAGGAGAGGGCTGTGTCGGTAGGAGCATTCGAGCAGTGCGTGGAGGTGGTTGAGGTGCTGCTCCGGGCGGGAGGGTCTGCATGAGCCCTTGGGGGACTCATGGTCATGGAACTGGAGACTCCCCCCAATTCTGTTGAATTTCAGAAAAAAATGCCAGTTGCACAAACCTGCAGGAACCTGTTAAAAGGGGCAGCCAAAGGATGAAACCTTTGGGTGCTGCGAAGCTAAGGAGGGGTCCCTGAAGAGCCTTGCAGAGAGCCTGGTGCCAGGGGTGCTGTGGGGTAGTGCAGTGGATGAGAGGTGGCTTTTGGGTGGGGACAGATAGAAATTGAAAGGGTAGAGCTCATGGCACCTGTGTCCATCCCAAATTAAGATAGCAATAGGAGAGATTTTAAAAGCAGCAGATAAAACGTGCAGGAGGAGAGAGCCAAGACAAAGTCACAGTCACCACTTACCCGAAACCTTGGACGTGAGGGTGGCTGTGGTGCTCCAGGAGTATTGCCAATTCCCCAGGGACTCAGAAGTGTTATGGTGCTGGGAGATAAAAAGGGCTCCTCCATAAAAAGGGCAGCAGAGGGGCTGACCCAGCACTTGGCGTGGAGAGGAAATGAGGAGTGGGAGAGGATCTTCATGAAAAGACAGCTTGGGGTGGGGTGGGTGCTGCTGTGTGTGGGAGGTGGGCGTTGGGTTCATGAGAGGCCGTGAGCAGCTGCAGGGTGACGTGCAGTGGGAGCAAACATTTTATTTCCAAAAGTTCTGGGAGAAAATGGAATTACCCTGAGAAATGGGGATGACACCGAGCTGAGCGGTGCAGCCGACACACTGGAGGGAAGGGGTGGTGTCCAGAGGGACCCGGACAGGCTGGGGGGGGGGGGCCATGGAGA